CCAATGTACGATGCACTTTTGGTAAGGATTATTTATTTAAAATGGACTTTCGGAAGACGAGGGCGTATGGAATCACATGTGTTCTTTTTTGTTTGATAATGTAATCACGTCTGATCTTCTGACTGATTATCTTTTCTTGTAGCCTGTTTCTCAGAATGTTAAGGTGGATCATCACCCAGCTGGAGGCCATTGGTTTGCTGCTGGTCTATCCCCTAATGTGAGCAAACTGCTGTATATATACACAATTAAATATGCCTACTTGTCATCTTCGTTTACGTTATCAACATTCAAAGGCAAATATGGGTTTCCGTAATGTTATGCAAAGGATTTTATACTGTCATGCAGATTCCAGGCAGAAATCGAGTGCCCGTGCAGAGCAGCCCTCATTATCAGGTTATGCAGTATGCACATGTAGGTAGCTATGGTAGTCTAGGAAGTCATAGTAGCTACCACGATGGTGCTGGGCTTAGTAGCAGTTATGGAAGTTATGGAGATAGCAGTAATCTTCATGCATTTTATTCGCCTGCGGGTCCATCAGGCATGCATCTCTATGCACAGAATGGTGTATCAATTCTTGGAAGCAGTCCAGACACCAGGAGATTTAAGCAGCTCCCTCCTGGGAATGGGCTTGGTGTCAGCCCAGGAAATTTTGTTCCTATGTCTCTTGGAACGAGCCCATCACAGTTTACTCCTCCTAGCATGTATAGTCAGATCTCTGCTGGTTCTCCAGGAAATTATGGCCCTTCATCACCATCAAGGGGTAGTTGTCATGGATCACCTTTAGGGAAGATGGCAGCAGGTAGTCAGTACAATAATAGAAGAAAAGGGTGGGGATATCCTGGTAGCTATCAGTCTCAAGAAATATCATCATCCCCTCACTGGCAAGGGCAGGTTGCAGATGGAAATAACTCCAGCCAAGCCAATTCTCCTGTCTTTGGTGGCTCTCTATTGCATCTACACAGTAACTCAAATCCCAGACAGCAAGGATCAAGCAGTGCGAGTGTTGGTTACTCTAATGCGCATAATGTTACAAGTTCATCAATGCAAGGTGGGCATATTCAATTCCAGAAAACTCATGGTGTACATGATAAACCTGAGGGTAGTAACTCATTGCCTGATCCCGGCGATTGGGATCCCAATTACAGGTAAATTAATGGGATGCATCATCTAACAAATCCAAACAGCTTAGAAATTGGATTCTTTTTTGAAAAGAAAATATAGAGAGTTCATTGGCAGAAGGTGGTAGCTGTATCTTTGCTATATCTCTTTCTATGTTTTTGACATCTCAGGCTCTAACACATCAATTTATTCTATTGATTATCAATGTTTCCCTTTTTATCCTTTCAATAGGTGTAGTACAGTAAAACATGATTGTCTAATGTACTGGCTTTAAGTTGAAACCTCTTTCATGAAGTTCTCTATGGATTGTTGGGTTAATCCCTAGCTCATATAATGAGTTGTAACATGTTTTGTTTTGCCTCGTTTTTGAATCAGTGAAGAACTGCTTCTGCAAGAAGATAGCTCAGAAATGAGCAACTTAACGAGTGAATTCGCCAAGGGGATACATCTTGGTCAAGCTGCAGTCTCCCAAGAACCATTGACTGGAGTGAGAAGACCAAGCCAGATCTCTAATCTGAATCCCAGTATGTCTCAGAGGTAAGTTTTAATTTTATATTTTTCTAAAGGAATAACCTTACATGTCCGCACATCCCTTTTCTTTGTTGATATACATTTCTTTCCTTAAGAGTCTTATGTTATGTGACAAAACATATCAGGTATATCTCTCATCATGCCTGCTTTGGGTAAAATTGAAGTTGTATCAAGGCAGTTAAGACTTTTGTTTGTTTCCCATAAGATACTGGAGGCTCTGATCGCCAGGCACTCACATCTAATATCTAATTTTGATGAATAGTTGAAAACAATTTGATAGCTGTCCGCACATCCCTTTTCTTTGTTGATATACATTTCTTCTTAAGAGTCTTATGTTATGTGACAAAACATATCAGGTATATCTCTCATCATGCCTGCTTTGGGTAAAATTGAAGTTGTATCAAGGCAGTTGAGACTTTTGTTTGTTTCCCATAAGATACTGGAGGCTCTGATCGCCAGGCACTCACATCTAATATCTAATTTTGATGAATAGTTGAAAACAATTTGATAGCTGAAATTTATGCTTCAAGATGCTTTTTTAGGACACTCATGGATTTTCTGCTTCCTTCTTCCTAAATTGTCTTAGTTGACTTTGCATGGTTTTCAGGTTAGTTTTGAAATTAGTATTGTTTAGTATTTTTTTCAAAACATGTAGGGTCAACTTAATGAGTTTTGGTTTTAAAGAGAAATTGTACTGAAAAAAAGTAATAGTGGGTCTGACTTAAATCTTATAGAATATGATATGTACGGGAATTTCTTTATTTGGGATATGGACATTATTTAGAACGCACACTTCTTTCTTTGTTTATTGTCCTTTCTTTTTGTCCATTCCTGCTTGTGCAAGTGCTCTTGTTTTCATTCTCTTCACTATTGCTTGCATGATTTAGACCAACGGGGCAAACTCAAGCATTTTTACCTGGAGAGGTAGGAAGCCCTCCTTCAGGTCATGAGCCGCATGCTGGATTCATGCACACAATGGGAAATCCATCATATTTAATGCCTCATTTTGCACAAAGTTCTCCAAGCCGCTTGGGACAGCAACCTCTTTATCGATTTAACCAGGGGAGACCAGCTGTTCATTACAATGAAAGTCATGCCAAGGCGCAGTCATCTCATTCTACCTATAATATGGATGCTCCAAATTCTGCTCCAAGGAATGGTGCATCATGGGGTAAAGATTCACTAGTTTCTCTCTCTCTCTCTCTCTGTTTTTTTTTCTCTTTCTCCTTTTGTATTTGTTCAAATAGCCTCTTAAGAGTTGATTAGATAGGTTTTGACATGTTTCCAACCACAACCTTGTGCTGTTGTAGGCCGTAGAGGTAGCAACCCTATTCCAAACATTCCACCAACTTCCAGGACAAGAAAAGACTACAAGAGAGTTGTTTAACTTTTTGTAGTCTTCATCGGCGATTAGTTCGATAAGCAGTTCAGACAAGTGAAGCAAAGCGGGTAAGCCTGCTTTAGTGGCTTACGTTACAAATCCTCATCGACGTCCTTTTGTAGTGCTTGCATAAATGTTAATGGTTATAACACCACCATGATCTGGTCATGCCTGTTTGTCATCACCATGCTCGATCTGGGAGCTCGAATTCTGCTGTTTTCTCCAGTTCCAAAGGGCCAAAAGATGTGGACGTCAATTCCCTGGATCTAATTTATTGCAAGAAAACTCTAACCAAGTTGTCTGTTAGTATTGTTGCTCCAGGGGATTAAGGGGGATTTATTAATTATTTATTTGAGCAAAGCTTGGTTGTGTTGAGTAGGGTGTTGAATCATGGTTTAAGGTTTATTTTTTAGCAATCTCTTTGTAAGCTAAGACAGGAAACCTGATTCCTTGTAAGTTGGATATTTATTTCAATATCCTCTTAACACATCAATGTGACTACTCATAAATTAAATGGAATGACGTGAAGAAGTGTGGAATTTGTGTTCTTAATTGGTTTACCATTGATATTCATTGAAATATAAATCAATCTTCATAGCAGAAGCTAATTATGACGGTTGTAGTAGGCTAGCAGCTATTTAGTTTTTTGGTATTCTTTTTCAGTGATCTATTCCTTTTGATTTGCATAAAAATAAAAGTAAGATTCTATTTGAGATTTATTTTTTTGATTTTCTATTTCAATAATCCCCCGTATCACAATAGAAGCTTGTTGTTGGTTAGCACTAAATTTGGAATAAGATAATACTTTTAGAAAGACATTGCGGCTTATCCTGATATAAGTGGAATGCTAAATTTAACAATGATTTGGTAGAATTAAGCAATATGTACATTTCACTTTCTGAAGATCTCAGTTAAGCTTCAAAAATTGGACAGGTTTGGAATATACCTCGGATAGTCGATTCAATAAATATGAATGAATATCTCTCATTAGACAAGTGATTTTATGGTGTACCTCACACAAACTATGTCAGATTGTGTGAGGCTTCTTTATATCTCATACATTTGTGGACCCATATCTTACATATTTGGTCTACAAAATTTTGGAATCACACACGTAAAAAAAAAAAAAAAAAGGCCTCACACAACTAGCATCAGTTGTGTAAGGTACAAAATAAAAATTTTCCTCATTAGACGATGACAAGAACGAAAACGTGGCTGATAGACTGCAGGTGACCTCGATTAGTGAAATACTTTTTTTTTTTTTTTGGGTGGTAAAACATGTTGAGATAATGATATCCAGAAAACCAGGCAACTATAGTGTCCTTTCTAGGACTGGGGAATTTACTTAATACCAGTAATTTTGTAATGTGAATTTAAACGTCTATTCGTAATATTATAGTATATTTTAAATTTGGAAGCCATAATTTTTATTTAAGAAATATTTTTTTAAAAAAAGACAATCACATGCACTAAGCTTTCGTTAAACATTGGACCTGAGGAAAGGTAGAATTCAATTGAGTTTATTATATGCAAATTTACTTTATATTTTTACAAAAAAACGTATAATCTATTGGTTACGTGGCAATTAATTTTATTGTTGCGCAATGTATTTTCAGTAGTTAGCTTTTAAATAGTGATAATGATATGTAGAATGAGATTGAGGGAGAAAAAAACATTAGCAGGATCTAGAACTATTGATTGGAAAGAGTTGGAGAGAGAGAGAAAGCTTGAATAGGAAATAGGACAAAGTAATAAAATATTTTTTTTTTTTAACAAAAAAAAGTAAAATGGAAAAGCCAGTGGAAACGTGTGCCGCTGACAAAACAAATAAGAAGTCCTACGCCACACGATGTGGGACCCGCATATCTATTCCAGCCAATAGGCAATGGCTATTGATCTCTACTGACCCCACCCCCATATCCAGAACTAAATGCACTCTTCTCCCCTCGCGTTATTTTCATTTCCTCCATCAATTTAATTATCGAAACAAAAATGACCAAATAAAATTACGTAAAATACAAAAGAAATAACGAATATCAATTCTGTTGCAACAAACTCAACTTCTCCCACCGCCATTGCAACAGCATTACTGTCACTTACTTCTCTTCATTCTCTCTTATCTGTATTTTTTCTTTTAGCGATTCAACTGCCAAATCCAGGTATGTAGCTGCACTGATCACTTTAACATCTTCATCTTCTTCACTTTCCATTTGATTTTAATAAAAGGTTGCTCTAATTTTCTTATCGTACATAATTTTACAATCTGTTCACCTCGTAATGCTCGCCTTCTATACAAATCTGTTAATTCCCTCGTAATGATCGCCTCGTGTAGAGATGCAAGCAGTTATTTACATTGCGTACTTGTTATTGTTGTAGTTTGTGTTGTAATGGCTGTTATAGTAGTTAATTTTAAGCTTTATTGGAACTTTCAAAGAGCTCCGTAGGAAGATTGTGTATGTGAGAATGCACCTTAGCTCTGTAGGAAGCTTTATTTATTTCATACTAGCCTGGTAAACTACTAGATGGTTGAAATTTCATAGTACAACTTTACTGAGGCTTCTAATTCCCCTACCTAAGTATGGAACAAGTAGCTAGCTCACTGAAGCTAACATATATACCATTGCTTTCTGCTATAATTTGTTTTCCTGTATTTACCGCGTATATCTGAAAGAAAACAAGACCAGAAAATGAACTTTTTGAATGTTCAGAAAACGTTTAGTTGTTGTTTGTCCAAATTTCTGCTTGCTTTCCTTGTTTTTTATACTAATTCTCTCTATGGTTGTTATTTTTGAATTTTTGAAATTATCCTTGTGACTACTGCAGGAAGCTGCGAAGTGATTAAGGAGATTAATATCAACATAGCAACTTGGTCATATGTTGTTGTGATTCATCTACCTTGTTAGACGATCGTGTGATGGTCTTGGATTTTTAGAAAGGCATAGCCCTCATGATGGCCACAGCAGCAGTTATTGGACTTAGTGCAGGAAAAAGACTCCTAAGCTCTTCCTTTTATTATTCCGATCTTATTGAAAAGCTAAATTGTACCAGTGATCATAGTTTGCCCTGCCATCAAGTTCCTTCTGTTAAGAATGTGATCAATGCGAAGAAGTCATCCGGTTACAGCCACAGTTGCGTATCCAGTCGAAAACCACAATCTGCCAAGGCTCTTAAAGAGCACGTGGACGTTACAGCCGACCCTTCTGATGTGCCATCCTGGTTTGAAATGTTTGAACAATTGCAAAATGAAAGCGATGATGAGGACGATTCGGTGGAGGTTCTCCTCTTGCTGCAGAAGTCTATGCTTGAAAAGCAATGGAATCTTTCTCTTGAGCAGACACTGACAGCTTCTCCACAACATGAAAAGAAAAGTAAGAAGATGCATATTACTTGCTCAGGGACATCTGCTAGGCGGAGGAGAATGGATTCTCGACAAAGAGTTCTTGATCGACATAGTTCAGCTACACCAACCAGTGCAGCCAAGCCACTGAGATCAATTATTGGTCCAGAGCTACTTCAAAATCGTTTAAAAGGTTATGTTAAGGGTGTAGTAAGCGAAGAACTGCTCACACATGCTGAAGTGCTTCAACTATCCAAAAAAATTCAAGTTGGCCTTTATTTGGAAGAGCAGAAATCCAGGTAACTAACTTCATGCCTCTTCTCTTAAGTGTAAACCTGAGATTACAAGCTGAGCATATCACGACTGTACAGAACCTAGTGCACAAGAACAAAAATGAAGTAAAAGAAACCTGTCTGGATCCATCCCGCTTTATTTAGCTTTTTAGCCAGGCAAAACACACACTCATGAAATTAATAGTAGTTGTTATCAAATTCAGAAACAGTCTATTTCACAGATTGTCTGACTGATCTCTTTACTTCTCTAAAATTATTTATTTCAAAAACAGAAAGATCTTCCTAAAATTTGATGTCAGACTGTTAGCACCATTTGTTGGACTGTGCTGTATACTTCTCTACACTTATTTATTTCCAAAACAGAATGGTCTTCATAAAATTTGATTTCAGACTGTTGCGACAATTTAGTAAAGCATGTGAGGAGGAAGGTTGTTGTGCCTTTAGAAATGCTATGCCCCTGTGGGATTGAATTTAGGGGGTGATTACGGTTCATGTCCTGTCTTATCATAAAAGAAAAAAGTACACCAAGCTGGAATGCTGAAGGACAGTGTACTTTGCCTGTGTAACTTATTTCGTTTATACACTTCTAAAGTTTCTGTATCAAGAATTCTAGCTACTTCCTTATTGTTAACATGTTTCAGTTCAGGAGTAGTTAAGCTCTTGAGATAGTATGGGGGTTGGAATTAGTGTTTTACCATATTTGTGGCTCCACTATTCTATCATTAAATAGGAATAATCTTAACTATTGAAGGTTGTAAAGATGTCTCACACAGTGTCTTTTAAAATCATGGAAAACATCAGGCTTAAGGAAAGATTGGGATGCGAGCCTTCTGATGATCAACTTGCTGTTTCCTTGAAAATGTCACGTACTGATCTACAATCTACATTGATTGAGTGTTCCTTGGCAAGAGAAAGGCTTGCAATGAGCAATGTTCGTCTTGTCATGTCAATTGCTCAAAGATATGATAATGTGGGTGCTGAAATGGCTGACCTCGTTCAGGTGACTCCAATGTTGTGCAATCAAAAGTTAGACATGCAAATTTCTTGCACTCGTACATTGATCAATATTGTTTGAAATCAAAATTTGCACCTCTGAAAGAGAAGTCGTTAATTTTCATACAGGGAGGCCTTATTGGGCTGCTTCGTGGGATAGAGAAATTTGATCCCTCTAAAGGATACAAAATCTCAACTTATGTTTATTGGTGGATTCGCCAGGTATGGTCTTTGTTTGTCCAGAACCTCAACCAACAACGTGACATAAAAGATTTCAACCAACAAATTATTTCCCATGCTTTTCTTATTTCTAGTTTCTCCAAAACAATTAAGTTCATGCTTATTGAGGGGCTTCTGTCTCTGGAGTCTGGATATACTCTCTGATTTCTTGTCTTGGCAAGAATTGTCAAGCCACCTTCCACTCGTTGAGGTCTTTTATCTGGTCACAAGTTTGTATTAGTGTCAGGACCATTCCTAACTCTTATTTGCCCTATGTTCAGGGTGTCTCGAGAGCGCTGGTTGAGAATTCACGAACCTTAAGATTGCCAACATATCTGCATGAAAGACTCAGTCTAATCCGTAATGCAAAGACGAGACTTGAAGAGAAGGGAATAACTCCATCTGTAAATGTAAGTTCTGTCAAATTTTGATATATTAGAGAATTTTTTCATGTCACTTACGCGGTTCTCTTCTTACTGGCTCATGTTCCACTCTCCAGAATATAGCTGCATCCCTAAATATGTCCCAGAAGAAAGTCAAAAATGCAACTGAGGTATAATAATTTTGTGGCTTAAACTTGTCCTGCTCATTTTTAAGAAAATGTTGCTTAAACATTTCTTCTTACAGGCAAGCAGCAAGATGTATTCACTTGACAGGGAAGCATTTCCCTCTTTAAATGGTCTCCCTGGAGAAACCCTTCATAGTGTAAGTCCAAACTCCAAATGTTCATATATTGTATTTAACATTGTGGTTGACAACTTCTATGGATTTTATCAAATAATTCAAGCACCGCCTTGCATCTCAAAAAGTGCACATTGACGATCCGTTTGATATTTGAGTTGATAATTACAGTATTGGCTATCAGAAATTTAGATTTAATTCTCAAAAAATTGTGACAGAGAATGGAAATAAAAGTTACTCATTTTTGGGGGGAGACTTTGGGCATTAGAATTACTCACATAAGGTGAACTGTAACTGTATCATACTATCCAGCTACTGGGGATTTGAACCAAAAAGAGCCTGAGGTCATTGAGGCCACGTGGATTCTTTTTATCAGTCAATACTTCATTACTGCGCATTGTTTCATGATCTCGTGTCTTTCTTTATCTTTTCTTTTGTGCAGTACATCGCTGATAACCATCTGGAGAACAACCCATGGCATGGTGTCGATATATGGGCACTCAAGGTAATTTAGTGAAGTAGAGCTGTCACAAGTAAAATGGTTAACTATAAATGGTTCTTAATATCTAACCTGGGGGCATAAAACAAAGAATTCTCTATGAGAAAACTACTGGAATATTTATGTTCTGATTTACCTCCCTACACCAAACCAATGAGAAAAAAAAGCAGTCGTTGCACCCTAATTGATGTATCTCCAGAGATGGTCTTACTTCCCAATGGAATTCAATTCTAGTATTCTTTGCCAAGCATTATTTCCATTAGATATATCTTCCTTAACTGTAAGGCAGTTCTGAGTACATCAGCTCATAATGATGGGTAAATTCCAAACCTCTCATGGAAAAATAAGTTCTTACATTCTTCTTACTTTTATGCATAGCAGTTAATTGTGGCCTTCCCATGCTGATCCCGTTATCGAGGCTTGAGTTCCATATATATTGCTGGATATAAACTTGTGATCAGAAGCGAATCCCGGATTTGAAGTTTATGAGTTCCTACCTATGTTGCGCGGACTCTCCAAAATACTGCCGCACCCGTGTCGGATTCTCCAAAAATACACTGCTTTTGGAGAATCCGACACGCACCCGGCGATATTTTCGAAGAGTCCGAGCAACATAGGTTCCTACAACTACCTCAAGTTAATACTACAATATTAACTTATTTCACAGACAAATATTTATAGAAATTTAGTGGATTTCTTAATATAAATACAGGGTCTGGGAAAAAGTTACTAGGTTCACGTGAACCTGTAACCAAATGCATTAGACCTGCCCGTGCTTGTGATGTCTCGGGAGTCTCTTCTAGATTTCTAGATGTCCAAGTGTCATGCTGCTTTTGGTTTGATCATCTTCTTGTTCCATTTCCTATTGGAGGAAGGGGTAATCTGTCAGTTAGAAAACCAGTATGTAAGGAGAAACTGACTAGTAACTAAAATGTTTAAACTTTCATCAGGTTTGCTTCAGAGGAAAAAGTACCATTATATGCTTCTACCAACTCTTTTAGCAATGTCTATATGATTCAAAAGTTTATATCACTGGTGAAGAAATATCATCGCTAATGTTTATAAGTTTTACAGGATGAAGTAAACAACCTCATTTCATCAACTCTTAGGGATAGAGAGAGGGAGATCATCCGACTGTACTATGGTCTGGACAATGAATGTCTCACCTGGGAGGATATTAGTAAAAGGTAAGACTCAAATATCTATGGTTGTTAACTTTTAATTAGATATTACTTGTCGCATCAATACATTATGTTGATGGTTAATGAACGTTTGCTCACATGTTTAACTAGGGTTCTTCTTGGATATTTTAGAAGTCTAAAGCTCTTATCTTAGTTTAACTAGGGTTCTTTTGGGATAATTTAGAACTCTAGAGCTCTTATCTCTTAGAAGCCAAAATGAAATGGTATTACATATGAAGCACATAAGGTATTCAGGTTGCCACAATCGCCATGTGAATAATGAGAAACAATTAAGTACATAGTGGAATGTAAAGAAACTGCACAGACTGATCAAGCTTCAGAATGCGGACATATTAAAGTATGGAAGTTTGCACAAGCCTCTACCCGTACTAGTACTGAAATTCACCATGCTAATGTTGCTTACACTATGGAAATTCATGTTTCCTTTATTGACACACATTTCCTGAGTGCATACGCACCAATGAGTTGTTCTAAATGCTACTTTTATTTTTTTAACAGGATAGGTTTGTCCAGAGAAAGAGTCAGACAGGTGGGGTTAGTTGCACTTGAGAAACTAAAACATGCTGCAAGGAAAAGGCAACTAGACGCAATGTTGATCAAACAGTGATTTGGAACATTTGCTGCGACTATAATACAAATTGACTGTACATAAAATGTGAGAAACTTCCATCTCCAACTTATTTTTTTGATAAGGAGAACGTACAGATAAGGACCCGACGACATTCTTGACCACCCGTCAACACCCCTCTCCCCAAAACCAAGCCCAAAATTTGTATGTGAAGAGACAGAAAGATGTAGCAAAATTTTTTGTGTCGGTATATTTTAGGATGCCTGACGTGCAAAGAGCAAAGAGTTTGTTTGCTGAGATAGGAGATAATTACAAGCAAATGATGTGGATGTTTCCACTTTGATTTTATGCTGATAGCTTATTGTTGATAAGAGAACATATATGCTTCCCAATCATACGTATAACAGTACTAGTCTCTGGACACGCGCATTGCGCGTGTTTCCCATATCAATGAATACTAAATTTCAGATAATAAAAGTTACAAATTAACTAAGCATTTGAATTTAAAGTATGTCATGAACATAATTCGAATTCAGTGGCTTAATATTTGAATATGAAAGTCGTAAACCTGCAATGAACAATTAAATTAAGTTAGCCAAAAATATTTTTTTCAATTATTATAATTTTATTTTATGAGTTGCAAGCATATTAATTGGCCATTTTGTGTATGTTCCCTTCTTCCCTCTTAGTTAATCTATCATTAGCAAAGATTTGTGATGATAGTGATTAGGAGAGCAAACTATGCCATAAAAAGATTGATGCAAGAAAATGCAGTACCAAATTAAATTAAGAATTAACTTTGCAAACCTGCATACTGTAATATTAAAGGTCAATACATAGACATATAACAAAAGATGTAAAATAAAGGAAATATAATCAGCTCCACCAATAAGAATAAAGCATATTATAGACACTAGTCAACCCGTAATAAAGATAAGTCGCCAATTGAGAACATAAGTAGATAAAAAATACTTGAACAAGCTAAGAAAAATATGAATGTTGTGCAGGGGCATGACTGAGTCCCAAAAATAATATTTCAATCATTTCCCATATTTGACTAAACCTTAACATTCTACTATTAAGAGAAACATCTATTCCTATACTATAAGTGAGGAAGTGAGGATATCAAATACCTGCTTCATCATGAGGGCATTTTTGTCATTTATGTGTTACAGCAGTCAGCACCCTTGCAATTTCCTTTTGGATGGAGTGTTAATTGAGTTTGGCGCACTTGATCAAAGGTGCTCATGGTATGGACATTGAATGAGTAGCTCATAAAAATACATCAATTCAGTGAACTTTTGAAGGGGTCATATATAGAAATTGTTCTTTGCTGTACAAACCTAATCTCACTCGTGCCACTTGAACTGATGGTAAGCATTTCCTATAATTTTGCATCCAATGTTAGTTTTTAATACTTAAAATCTGAAAAGGTAGAGATTATAAGAAGATGGGAGAAGAGAAGGCTATTGATAATGAGAGTTTTGTTTTAATTACAAGTAAACACAAGATATAAATATGGATTGTATGGATATTAATTAATTAGGAGAAGAGAAAGAGACTCAATAACATAAGTATTATTTATAACTCTATAAAATTTTTCTACTTTTGTACATGAATCTAGTAAAAGAGTTTTCAATCAACCGTATTTAGAATAGAATTTAGGATAAAAATTGAAAGGTCAAATTAAGAGAAAACGAAGAAAATAGAATATGAAGTGGTAAAATTTATCTCTGATAGGTACATGCATGACAACTAATTGAAGAGACTCAACACCATTATTGATTAATTTTTACTATTTATTATGAAATATTTTACCTTTTTATTATTTTATAGAATGTAAGTTGCATTTTTGTACAAATTTTTTATGTAAGCTGTATTTACTTGACGGACAAAATTGTAATTCAATTTTTCTTGAATATTTTGGTAATCTAACTTTAATTATATATAATAAATAAATAATATAAATATAGATATAAACATAATTAATATAAATATAAATATGATATATGATATATGATTAAGGCAGAATACATAGACAGACACTTAAACTATCAAAGAAAGTTCACTTGAACACGTCAACTAAGTCATATTCCACCGAAACACTTTTACTATACTTTTACTGCACCAGTTTAACACAAAACACTGAAATGGCAAAAAAATTGTAGTTCACGGCTCTTAGGCGCGTGATTGGATCTGATTTAATATTTTCCTTTTCTTTTTATATTCTTCTCCCCAAAAGNCTTTCCTTTTTTATATTCTTCTCCCCAAAAGTTCCATCACCACCCTCTCTCTCCTCCTCCACTATTCCCCTTCCTCCTCCACTGTCATGAAGAAAAATAAGAGGAAAACCTTCCAAATATTGTAGGAATTTCGCTGGTACATAAAAAGAGAAAATTATTGGCCCCTCCATTTATGTTGCTCTGTTCGATGATGAATTTGGGTAACATCAGTTTGAAATTCTTGTTACCCGATTCTTCAAAAATTTGAAGCTTTAAGAAAAATTAAAAATTTCATATTATTGCTGACAATATCAGTTAAAGATTAAACTTGAAACTTAAAAGCTCTATTAACACCCACTCGAGTTTAAAGCTTTAAATTTCGAATTGAAATTTTTGGAGGTTGTGTTTTCATCCCCACTTGATTTGTTCTTTTAATTTCATAGATGTGGGTTGGTTGATTTTGACCCGAGATAGTTTGTGGTTATTGGAATTTCTATGGACAATTTTGTTCTTGAATTTCAATTCAGATATGGGTTTTTATTCCACATGTTTAGGTGGTGGCTTTCTTGGGGAGAAGTGAGAAATGGGTCTGGCTATCAGTGATGGACTTTTGCAGCAGGGCCATAAAAATGTCTGATAATGTGATAGATGGTTTAAGCAAAAAAATTGTAAAAGAGAAAGTAAACAAGAAAATAGAAAAAAGAAATGATTCTTCTTCCATTGTCGTTTTTTTTTCTTTTGCTGACTTGTCTCTTTATTAGTGGTGTTAATTTTCATGTCAGTGGCAAGTAAAGGTGTTTAACGGGTTGGCCGGGCCGGGCTTATATTTTTTGGACCCGTACGGGTTACAGTCCGGGCCGGTTACGGGTTGGGTCTTAACGGGTTTAACGGGTTCGGGTTCATCCGGGTAAAAATTGAACCATAAGGGTTACGGGTTGAGGGGGCCGGGCCGGGCCGGGTTTAGTATAATTTTAATTTTTTTTTTGGATTTTGTATAAATATTATAAGTTATAGTATTAATACAAAGTACTAACATAAAGAATACAAGGAAGATGGGAACAAATTGCACTTATAAATTGCAAGTGCTATATTTATTTCAAAATTACAAAATTAAAGTTTGTATTTAAAAAGTAAATTAACAAATAAATAGTAAACTAAATTTTCATGCATAATAAATTAATAATACTTCAAATTAATCTAACAAACTAAATCATTAAGCATAAATACGTCTAATAATTTAAAATAACACAAATTGTCTTAAAATCTTAAAATAACACATATATAGCATATTTTAAAAATAATGCGTTACCATCATATTCTATGATTTGAGCATTTATAGTTTTATACCCTAAATATATACACTATATGTTAAATTCCAACAATTTTAAATTATGTTAATTAGTATACAATAATTGGTATATTCATGGTATATTCATGGTATATTTATAGTATATTCATGGTATATTTATGGTATATTCACGGTATATTCATGTTATATTCACGTTCCGGGCCGGTCTGGGCCGGGCCGGTTAACCGGTTTAACGGCAATGTTCATCTAACGGGTTTTACCGGGCCGGGTAACCCGTTTCAAAAATTTAAACCGTCCAAACCCACCCCAACCCCCCTACCCAGCCCAGCCCAACCCTCCTTACCGGGCCGGGCCGGGCCGGGCCGGTTCCGGGTTCTACCGGTCTGGGCCGGTCCGGAATCGGGCTGACCCGGCCCGTTTTAACACCCTTAGTGGCAAGTAGCATTCACGCACTTAGCCTTGCCTAGAGTTGTCAAAATTGTGTTTAAGTGGAACAGAGGAAATATAGTTGAAGTGCTTAAATGAAATATAGCTAAGTTGAGGTGTCCATATGAATTTTGGCGCTAAGTTAGAGGGGCCGCATATGGGTTTGGCCTATGATTAATGTTGTAAATTTTTTAAAAAAGGGTATTAAGTACAAAATATCATTTAATGGGAGGTAATTTTAATTTTAGGTAGAGGATAATTTGGTCATTCAATTTTTGAAGGTTATTATGGTAAATTAACTTCACCTAAAAGCGTTCATGCTTATAATATAGTATATGATGATGATGATTACCAGCTAAAACTCAAGTATTCAGAATTTCAAAGCGTTTCTTATCATTCAATTTTTTCCTTTTCTTAAAATAATGGTGGTGTCCAGATCAGTTTATGCACACTTCGGCTATTTCTTTAGAGCTCCTGTTACTTCTCAGCAATATAGTACAGGGTAACTCCGTCCACCAACATTTAAATTCATCTCAAGGGTATAGAGCTTCTTTAAACTGAAGACAACATCAACAAGAGGCTAATTGGAGCTAAAGCCATAAACCAATTAAATTATTAAATAGCGAATGCTAATATAAGACACAATGCTAAACTTTGAATAGCACTAACCGAAAACCTAAACTATGAACTATTCACTTATGTAAACTCTATATGTATTATGAAGTGAATTTCTTCCCAAAGTTTTGTATTGAGATCCTCCTGGAAAGACAAGTGTATTCCCAGGAAATTGGCCAAGGCCGAGGCGAGGGGAAGGAAAGTTTGAACTACTGCTGAGCTGAAATGACTAACACTCACTGCTAGAGCTCATCAACCTTCCTTTGATTTGGTTTTCGGTTTGACACCATCAGGTATGCATGATGACCAATAAAGCGGCAGAAGTGTGCATACTGACTGTATTAACAGGGCATGTCGTAAGCCCGAGAAGTCATTCCCTGTCACTTGGACAAATGATGACAGTGCAACACCAAAATAGCCACTTATAATAACAGCCAGTGCTATGGCAGACATGAGAAATGCCATGACAGATCCTTCATACCCCGGAGGGCAGAGCTGTGCCATAACAACAGTGAAGGGTAAAATCTTGAAGAAGTAGAGAACCTCCAGAAAGCCAGAAAAAAGCACCACATACAATGAGTCGGGAATACCAAACATCCTGTATACCCCCTTTACGAATAAGAAATCCGAAAACATCAGAACAGCCATAGTAGCCTGAATTGCTGAGATTAGCTTCCTAGGAGACGTTGATTTCAGGTTCTTGTTATAGATTATACCCCACAACAGCATTGCTGCCTGCCCGAATACCTTAGATATACCCAATACTGATGATTCAATACCTAAATGTTGTGTCTGGTAATAGAACATTGTTCCTGTTAAAGCTGGAACTACTGCATAAGAAGCTGCGAACCACAAAATTGAATAACAAATCTCTGGCTTCCGCAATGCATCTAGAAGCTCTGAGAGTTGCTTTTTGATTCCAAGATTAGATGGACTCTTGGGAAGGTCCAAGGAACTTTCATGAATAAAAATCGTAACCAGAAATTGAATAGTTAAGAGAATGCCAAACATAAGGAACATCACTTGAGCGGAAACACGATCAATGGCAATACCGCCTGCAAGGTTACCAAGTACTCCACCGACAGAAGAGGCGATCCAGACAAATGACTGGAGCTGACCTGATGAAGAATGTTGCTTATTTTTGGATGAAGAACTAGGTGGTTTTCCTAACTCCGCAACAATGGCATCGTTGGCAACCTCAACTATTGAAGCACCCAAGTTTCCAAGCAAGAGATATAGAGTGATTGTAAAAAATGAAATATTTGAAGGAGAGAGGAATATAGCAGTCCATGACACTGCCTGCAGAAAAGCTGAACAAAAGTATAATCAAGTGAGTTCAAATGCACATTAATTTGTGTGACTACAGTAAACTACAATAAAACCGCAAAATGACTTGCTTCTGGAACCCTATCTTCTAATCAACCTCCATTACACAATGTACAAAACAAATAAAGAAGCTCTTCTGTCCTTTGCCTTTTACTACTTTAGGATTACTGCCTAGAATTGCCGAATCTCGATAACTAAATTATCAATCAAGTACCAGTTCCCACCTTTGCAACAGAACAAGGATGCTGCAATTTCATATTCAGTAAACAACTAATCTTTTGTAAATCACAGAAAACTCTAGAAAGTAAATACAACCTACAGAGTGGTGAACATATAAAGGTGCAATCTTTCTTTTTTCTTTCTAATTTAGCATTTCGTGCAACCTTCTATTCCTGTTCAGGAAAAAATGGAGGCAGCTGACAAGGGTGATATCTTATTCATATTATACAAAATTCATTTTCATAATCAATTTTTCCTAGGTATGGGTAAGGTCTGCGTACATATTACCCTTTCTAGACGTTGGATTCCAGTGGGTTGTTGTTGTTATAATCAATTTGATTGTGAAGAATGGGAAATATCAAGTTGCAAAAACACTATGTACATGTCACTAACAATAAAGCCACTAAAAGAGAAGAAAACAGGGCAAGTAAAACAAGCAATAAGAGAATGTGTGCATACCTCCAATAGCAATATAAGGAACACGATGCTGGCCAAAAATGTAAAAAGAATCAGATAGAATTCCATAAAAAGGCTTAGCCACCATAGGAAGATTAGCAGAACTCTGAAGAATCTGAAGTGTGGAGGGGTCCACCTTAAGGCCATCTTTGAGGAAAAAATTAACAGCCATCCAAGGGAAACACCTGAATCCTTGCACCAAAAATCCTAACCCTAACAACAATTTCCTCATCCCTTCACTCTCATTGCCACCACTACTACTATCATTATCACCTCCTCCGCCGCCGTCTCTTTTTCTTCTCCCTCTTTCTCTGATACTCTCAGATGATACCATAATTATTTTACTCCGAAACAGATCTACCTGACTTGATAATATATATATACTATGATTAATTGTTGCTACCCAAAAAGGTGATACCTTTGATCAGATTCAATGGTTTAAGGTTTTGACAGCAATTTTGCAGAAAGAAAGTGAAATGGGTATGATTCCAAGATTCGTTGTGCGATCCAAGACAGTGGCAGGTAAAAGCAAAATGAGATTTTTCTTTTTTTTGTTGGTGGTGGTGGTTGGGGGGGGGGTCTGTAGGGGGGTGGCAACTGGTAAGATTTCCCAAAGTTTCTGGATATAACAACGTGGCGAGTATTCACGTCGAGTATGCGTAGGAAGATTCGTATTTTATTGTCTGCCTATTTTACTTAGTTGCGTATCTTTTTCATTTGTCTTTGGGGCATAAAGTAAGAGGAGGTACTAACAAGATTCAATTATTCATTTGTGGACACAAAGTTTGGTAAAAAGTTAAAGTTTAAAGCATGTTACCCCACACTTTACATATTCACATGGTGGCAACTGCCAATCTTAAATCGTCTAAAACGGCACATGTAATAGTCACCTTTCGGATCGTTTGGTTTAAATACAAATTTTGCAACATTAGTAATATGAGAACGGAAAAGAATCAAATATACCCCTAAACTTTAGGGAAATGGTCTATATATACTCTTCGTTAGAAGTTTGGCCCAATCAAACCCCTGACGTTACACTTTCTACACAAATATACCCTTATGGCCAAACAGCAGCCTAGCTGGATATTTTCTCCATTCAAAAAATGACACATGTCTCATTTAAAATTATCTATACATATTTAATTTGAACCCAAAATCCAGATACAACAACCCATCCATACCCGACCCGTTAAATATACCCTTCTCACCCATACCCCAATTACTCCTCCTTCCTCTCTACTGACCAGACCTGCATAACCCCTTGCTCGTCACTCTTTATCTCTCTATCGCAACCTTCTTCCTCCTCCTAGAAATTGGTGAACTAACAACTCTAGACTTCCGTTGCTTCTTCATGTTCCCTTGGGTGTCAATAATTAGAATTCATCTCAAATTAAAATCTTTGAACAATCTTGATGATTCTTATAACCCATAAAAGTTTTTAACTTCAAAAGCAATAGGAATCTTGAGAAATTAGCTCTACTGAAGTTTGTTTACGGTAAGAGAAATGGTTCAATACCACCTAAATTTGAAGCTTGATGTTTGAAATTTCAAAACTCAGATTTGAACATCGTTGATGATTATTTATGAATTGAGCTTAACCTTGAAGTCTCACTATTGTTTCGTTAGTTTGTGGAAGAAATCTCAAAATCATCATTGTTAGAGTTTTAAGAAAAATTGAAGCGGGCGAACTGAGTCTCTTTCATTCATACTTATTTGCTCTCGTTTCTTTCGATAAGATATCAAATTAAGATATTTAGGTGGTCATCTCTCCAGTATTCAGGTGAGATTTTCAAGAGTGGTTTTGGAAAGGGAATAAAAATTAAAGAGGAAGAGATTTTTAAGAGTTCTTTTAGGGGTGTTAAAATATTAATGGGTCGGGTATGGGCGAGTTGTTGAATCTGGGTTTTTGGGTTCTAACTAAATTTGTATGGATAATTTTAAATGCGGAAAAAGGGTCAAATATACCCCTGTACTATTGGATATAGTATTTAGAAAGGCTCCGTTATACTATTGGTACTTTTGACTCCCTACCGTCACAGTATTGAATATTTCTACCCTTTCATTAACGGAGGGGACACGTGTTCAATGCATGTGCAATTTTCAGATCCAACTTAAATACCCATCTCACAATTGACTACCCGACCCACCCATTTCAATAACCCAATACCCAATTAAATGAAAACCCCACTTAAATAAAAACCCTTCTCATTTTACACCGGTCAGCCCTAGTTTTGTCTCTCTTTTCTAAGTCCGAGTTCTTTACTGAAGTTTGGCGATAGAAGGTTTGCGCATGAAGTTTGGCGATTTAGGGTTGGACGAGTTCAAAGGTACCATCCTTCTTCATGAAATTGTTCACTTTTTTGTTTTTTTAGTCGATTTGTTATGCTATTTTGTTGAATGTTCTAGCTGGTATAGGGTTTGTGTTCTAGGGTTTCGAATAATTTCTTAAAGGTGGTTTAGGGTTTCTTATTTTTGTATTGTTTACATTTTATGTTGTTATCTATATAGTCCCATATAAATTTGGTGACTTTTTGTTTGGTAGTAAAGAAATGGGTCCTTTAAATCACTTGCATGTCGGGCATTTTTGGGGTTATTTGTTGTGTTGTGAATTCTTTATAAGGGAGGGCCCTCATAGTGCCACTGTAAATGCAGATTCTGTCTTTCTTTATTGTTGGGGAGGGGGGGCCTCACATGTTTATTCCTATTTTTTTATGCCTCTTTTGCTAGAATTCTTTATTGTTTTCTAAATTTTTTTTTTGTCTTTTCTTTGTTGTATGTTTGCAGAAAGTCAGTGATGGTATTAATTGACTTAATATTTAAAGTGACTGGATTTGCAACCCACAAGTGATATACCCAAAGAAAGTGCAGCACATTAAGAAAGGGTATGACCCAGACCTTCTATCTTTTACTAATTTAGTCAATGAGTTTGTAGAAAATCTGGGGTATGTAGGGGTTCAACAACTAATAGTTGAAGGCCTTTGTGGTACACTTTATGAGATTGTAGGGGATGAGGGTATTAGATATTTGTTGAAGCTAATTTGTAATGAATATAAAGTAATCAACTTGTTAGCTGTTGATGAATGTGATCCTCCCTTGCATAGTATATCCAATATTGTAGACCATAATGTGGATGAGGTCGGCACTGATTGCAGCTTGAGTGATATAGGGTCTGACTCTAGTGCTGATTCTGATGGGTATGATTCTGAAGAACTGAAACTGTTAAAATCACAAAAAATAGGGACATAACTGAACAACTTAGTGAGTATAAGGAGTTGTATAAGGGTATGACCTTTAAGGATATTGCAGAAGCTAGGAAGTGTCTTAAGTTGTATTCTTTGGCCAATAAGAAAGAACTGAAATTGGAGAAGAGTGACAAGATTAGGGTTAGGTATACTTGCACAAACACAAAAGACTGCCCTTTTGTTTGTTTAGTATCCAAGGAAGGGGATGCTGGGGTTAAAATTAAGACCCTAAATCCAGACCATAGTTGTGGCACTTCATTTGATAATTCTACTGTTGACTATCACACAATAGCTTAATATTTTAAGAGGAAGTTACAAGATGATCCAAAATATAAGGTAAGGGAGATGAGGGCTGACTTGAAGAGGATATTTGAGTTAAATGTTAGTCATGGGAAGTGCAAGAGGGCAAAGAGGATGGTATTGGAGACTCTAGAGGGCAATTTTACTGATGAATACAATAAGCTTGAGGCTTATGCTATTGCATTAAGGGAAAGTAATCCTGGAAGTGATATTGTTATCAATCTTTCAAATAATGCACTTGCTGAAGGGAAAAGAAGATTTCTTAGGATGTAAATTTGCTTTCAAGCAATGAAAATGATTTTTAGTTTGGGGCTTAGACCATATATTGGTGTTGATGGTACATTTTTTAAGGGGAGGGCCAAGGGAATATTGCTAGTTGCCGTTGGTCAGGATAGTAGCAATCACTTCTACCCTTTGGTATGGGCAGTTGTTGACAAAGAAACAAAGGAAACCTGGATTTGGTTTATGGAATTGCTAAAGAATTCCTTGAACCTCAAAGATGGTGAAGGGATCACTTTCATGTCAGACATGCAAAAGGTAAATATAGACCCACTTACAGGAATGCATTGGTGGTTTAGCAAGGAGGCATACTTATTGACTTACAAAAACAAGTTACGGCCTGTTCCTGGAGAAAAATTTTGGAAAATTGAACCTTCCCAAGCAATGGAACCACCAGATTTTGTGAAGATGGCTGGCAGGCCAAAGGTTAAGAGGGACAGGGAGAAGAATGAAGCAATTAAAAGGCAAGGAGGGTGGTCTTTGTCCAGAAAGGGTAGGGTGATGACTTGTAGTAAATGTGGACAATCAAACCATAATGCAAGGACCTGTGGCATGGTAATTTACCCTAATTATCTAGCTGTGTTTAGCTTTATTTGTGTTTGTGTATATTACCTGAATTATCTTCTTTGTTTAACAGCCATCAAAAGGGAAAGGCAAGGCAAAGCAACCTCAAAAGAAGCAAAGTTCTTTAATAGATGAGGAAACAGAAGAAGATATAAGCTTATCAGCACCTCCAGTATCTCAACCCAGTCAAGGCACCGAATTTACCTTTATGCCAACACCTACAACTAGGAGAGTTGGGCAGTCAAGCAAGATTGTAGATGCTAACATCCCAGAACTTGGCAATGATGAAGATGCTGCTGTTAGGCCTATGCATATCTCAGAAATTATGACAAGATTTCAAAAGAGGCAAAAAATAGCTATACCAACTGGGACAAGATCAATTAACTTCACAGGTGACACCAATGGTGTTAGTGGGCCCAAAGATCTTCCATATACACCACCATCACTTACCTGGAAGGGACAGTCTGCTACAACTGGGAATCAGCTAGAGAAGCAAAGGCAACAGAGGATTGGGAAGCTGCAAGCAAGGAAAGGAAAATGAACCTCAAGTTTGGGACTATTTTGTTTTGTTTTTGGGATGTAATTAGTGCAATCCGACTATACTTTTGTAGTATTTAATGGTCTTTGATGTTGTTAGTACTGAAACTTGAAATGGATGTCATTTTATAACTTAGTATTGTAAGTTTTTGGGGTTATAGAATGGCATCCAATTATCAAGACATGTATTTACTGCTGTGACAGTACATTTTAGATGGTTAATGTTGAATGTCAATGATGTCGCCTTTGTTTTGCTAATTCTGCTGTTATGCTAATTACTGCAATTGGTATAGTTACTGCAGTTAAAGCCAATTGTGTGCTAATTACTGCAGTTGGTATTGTTAAGGAAATATGCAGGTATGTTCTGTAGTTCTGCAGTTGATTTACTCAAAATATGTAGTTGTGTAAATATGCAGTTGTATTCAGCAGGTACAAATATGCAGTTCTGCAGTTGTGTTCACTTGAAATATGCAAGCAACTAGTGCATTCAATACCTTTTTAATACACACTAACTAAGAAAAACTGAACGCAAAGGACATGAAATCAAAAACTTCATTGCAATTAACTTTATCCGAAATACAAAATAAACTAATGAAATCAAAAGCTTCATTACAAAATACTACATAATGTCCACCAACACAATTCTACATATTCTGAGC